TACTGAACCACATGAGGAGACAATGCAACATCTTTTCTACAGGTCATATGCAGCCACTAAAATATGGAAATATTTTCTAGGTCATGCAGGGATAAATGCTGATGGAATCACACTTCATCAGGCTATAACCAAGTGTTGGACTGCAGAAGTGATTCCCAGATTGAAGCCTATACTACAAGCACTACCAGTTGTGATTGTGTGGGAATTATGGAAGCGAAGGAATAGTTATAAACATGGGTAACCTGTGACTATTAATAGAGTTATTAACCAGATATCTACCTCTATGCAGTCATTAGTAAAATTCAGAAAGCCATCAATACAAACAGTCCCATACAGATGGCCAGAGCTGTTAAATAAAATGGAGTCCTATATGCCCAAACTGAAGTATACTAAGGTGATGTGGGAATGTCCTAGCCCAGGTTGGATCAAGGTGAATACAGATGGAGCGTCTAGGGGAAATCCTGGTAGAAGTGCAATTGGCTATGTATTAAGAAATAAGGAGGGTGACCTAATATATGGCTATGGGAGAGAAGTGCAGGAAGGGACAAATTCTGAAGCTGAAGCACAAGCAATCTTGGAAGCAATGAGGTTCTGTATTAATAATGACTACATACTTATAGAACTTCATACTGACTCCATGATGTTGAAGAATGTACTGCATGGAGAATGGAAAATACCTTGGTGTATATATACACAGGTAGAGGAGATAAGACAACTGATGGCAAAAGCTAATGTCACTGTGGTGCACACTTTTAGAGAGGGGAATTGTTTGGCTGACCACTTAGCCAATTATGCACTAGATATGGGAACTATGGTGGCACATAGTTTCTGGGAATTGGATATACAAGGTAGAAGGATAGTGAATAACGATAAACTACAATGTCCTTACTTAAGAGTAAAAGTAGCAAGGAACTAGAAGGCGAAACGTTACAAGGTGGAATTGCAGTGTGCTAAGTATATGTTGCCATCCAGATGTGAAGCAAGATTTTAATACGATGGAATACTCAATTGTCAAAGAACTGAGACTGATGGAAATATTCAAGGAAGGAACAACAACAGTGACCAGGCAGTATAATTTGATGCAGATGGGAATAAAGCTGAAGAAACAAGAGAGCATAGATACCAAAGCCGTGTGGAGGAGATCAAATTACACTAAAGTGTTTGCAGGTCCAACAACTTCCTATGAATTGAAAGGATCACAATGCCTTGAAGAAGAAATGGTGACTTACAACAACATTGCAGCACTGATGGACAATAATATCTATGCATGCGACAATCTGGAGTTGGCATCAAAACATTCATTTCTGGAGATCGCCACCAACAATGCAGGTCGAGCAGTCGAAATGCTGGACAGGCAAAATGCTGGACAGAGGAATGGACAGAGCTTATTTCTGGATGAGCAAAATCTACAAGAATGTGCGTGACAAAGAAGAAACAGTGCTCAATGTAACTGCTATGCAAATGATCATTCTGCACAGAAGGATATCGAAAGGAAATATGTACTGGTGCATACACATGGATCAATATGAAGTAGTAGCTGATAGATTTCATTGGAAGTATATTAGCAATTACACCACAGAGGCAGTACCAACAATACATAAATACATGGAGTTTTCTTTCAGTTTGTGATATCTTTGTTGGGCTATAAACTCAACTTTGATAATAGATCATATGTAATTCTTAAATATTATGCCTTTCACTTCAGTAAACATCCGAACAAAGTAATTGTATTGGTTTTGTTGTTTTACTTATATATATATAAAAACAGCCCTAGGCGCTCAGTCTAGTGGATTTACCAAAAAAAAATACTACGTAGCTACTCCACCATCCGGAATTCCATTCCGACCCTCGGATCAAAATCTCTCTATCGAACCGGAAACTTCAAAATTCGACCTTTCGGCATTTCAAGCCTAAATTAGCTATAGACCTCCAAAGCACCATCCAATCACGCCCCTAAGTTCGAAATCACCCACCGGAGCTAACAGAACCATCAGAATTCCATTTCGAGGTCGTCTTCGCACTATTCTGACCACGGTCAACTTTCCAACACTTAAGCTCTCATTTAGTGACTAAGTGTCCCAGAACTCTCCAAAACTCAAAATCGAACATGCCGGCAAATCAAAATAGTAGAAATAAACATAGGAAAAGCAGTTAATAGGGGATCAGGGCATTAATTCTTAAGACGACCGGCCGGGTCGTCACATCCTCCTATACTTAAACAATCGTTCGTCCTCGAATGAGCATAGAGACATACCTGAAGTTGAGAAAAGATGAGGGTAACGGCTACGCATATCCTGCTCGGTCTCCCAAGTATCCTCCTCGACCGGCTGACCCCGCCACT